TTAACTGAAAAGTTATGAGCCATAAGAGCCAGTGGCCCAGGCAGCAACAGAAGCAGAGGCTGCGGCAGGGCCTGGAGTTGGAGCTGAAGCTGGGCTCGACCACAGCATCTGTGTGTACGGTAATTGGGATTGTCGGGTGACAATGGCAACCAGAACGACAATTCCATTCTTCTGGTCAATACATATGTACGCATGTACGAATGTATATGTGGAGGAGGGAGAAGAAACAGTAACAGTAAACGTAACAACGAACACTCAACGAATATTTCTGATCTGCGTCATGGCATCATGCCTTTTGCCTACCTACTACAGTTAATGCTAGACATGCAGTAAAACAATTTTAAACAAAAAAATGTGAACTAGGAGAAAGTTACAAAACACAGTTAAAAATTCATAACTGCAAATCGAATAGTTAAGATCTCATACTAACGTTTAACTGTGGTCTATAGGCCTAAAACAATTATTCTTATATAAATACTATACAAATATAGTGACTATGCATGTTTAAGGAATGAATATCATTATAATATATAATATATATTTGTATTAATTGTAAATATATTATTAAGCAGCTTTATATATTTCTTAACATTTAATCTGACATTATCAGCACACTGTGCTGTGGTTTTTTCACTCTGTGGCTCAACAAATTTCTTATTTATTCAGCTAACCTCAATTGTTATTATAATTTATTTAGATATTATTACAAATTTTTAAATTTATTTTACAGAAATATTTTAAGGAATTTCATTGGATCTATTATATATTATATTATATTATATATATACAATATATATTGGATCATCTCAAGATTCTAGAAACTAAATTAAAAGTGCTGTAAAATCTGTTAAAAAATTTATTTTTAGTTAAACGTAATTAAATTTAAATAATATATAATAAATGCAAAATAAAAAATAAATACAAATAAAAAGTCAAAAAGTTAGAAAAAAATTATTTATTTAAATAAATAATTTATATAAGCGAATATATTAAGAATAAAAATAGGTTTACTTAAGTTATAACAACTTTAATTTTTTGCTGTTTACTAATCTGTAAGTCTAGCAAATTTATAATTATTATGAAATATTTTTAATTTAATTGCTTTTTTAATATTCTTCATAAACTAACAAACTGAAGCTTAGTCACAGATATGATATCATATACATAAATGATGCTATTGGCGACAGATCATTTGTGAGCAGTGCAAACTGATCTTAAGCCACTGTGCACGTTGCGTTGATAACTCATTTCACGTGTCTAGATAGTATTACTTACAGCACCGAGAGCTGTTGAGGCTGTCGCCGAGCATGGGACATTGACGTCGTTCAAGTCTGACAGACTCGGGTGCAGCGGGCATGTGTGGGAAAGGGCAAGTTAAGGTAGGGGAAGGTCGGGGCGCTGTTGTTGGATGTTTTTAACGAAGGCTCGTAAAAAAGCGAGCAGTAGCTTTTTTTTTGTTACTGATGTTGTTGTTGCTTTGGGTTGACTTGACTGCGGCTGCGGCTGCTGCTGTCGTAGGAAGTCATCAAAACTGTTGTCGTTGTTCGAAGTCGTTCGACATCGTTCCAAGTCGTCCAATATTCTATGGTTGATTCCACACAGGTCTCACTAGTTAACTTCGCTTCACTGATGCGCTTTTTTCAATTTGTCACGTACGGTAGATTTTCACTTCGATATTCTGGCTTGCTCATTACAACAACTACAACGGTAGTAAGAGCAACAACAACAGCAGCAGCAGCAGCAGCAGCAACCGTTGCTTGTGATATGTTTCGCAGTGGCAAGCACTTAATAACGAATTAGTATTTATGATATTCATAGAATTATACGTTTGTGTCCCGCTAATCTATATAAAAATCGGTTTTGAGCTTGCATGCGGACGGTCTATCTAATTATGCAAGATTTCCAGGGTCTTAGCCAAGTTTTCTAGGCCAATATTATATACATATACATAGAAATATATAATATATGTGTGTATATATATATGATGTAATGTTGACTAAATTATGACGTTGGCCAAAACGTGCGCTGGACACATTTATCATGGCTGGCCGGAATCCGTGCACTCTCGGCCAGCAGCAAAAGCAATAATAACTTTATGTCTTTGGCCACAACACACGGATCCGGCGAGTCCTACAACAAGTCCTTGAGTTTGGCTATGATAGAAAATTGTGTCACGACAGGAAGCAAGATAAGAGCGTAATTTTCTTTCAGCGGCACCGCTGCCACTGCTACTGCCACCACCGTCGGCCAGCACCAACACCACGTAGGGCGCCTGCTGACCACCCCATGGAACCGTTTTCCCCGGATGTCGACTATCGTGGTTACCGTTAGTCATTTTCATTTTCAGTGATTGTTCGAGCGACGAAGGAGCCACTACGTTCACTTGACTTTTAATGATTGTCACGCTCCCTATATATCGCTCCCACTCTCCCTCTCTCTCTCCCCCACCCACCATAAGAGACAGGCAAATGCCCGTCCATTCGCCCACTCGAGCTGTGCCTAATTTGCATTTATATTCATAATCTTGGGCATTGCGTCATGAAATATTGCATGTCCCGAACTTGTGACACTTTAATTGCTCACTGGATTACATCCAGGTACAGTGAACACCCATCTGAGCGCACCAGCAGCACTCCATATATAAAATCTACTTCTTTTGCTTTAGGTTAATTTTTTTTAATTTGCAGCTGGCCTCATTACGGGCTCAGCTCAGTTCGAATACGAATCAGTTGAACGATATTTGCATAAATCGCGCGGACCCATTAGCGTTGTCTATATGGCCAGCCCAGATGGTTTATGGGGGCCTCTTTCTTGTCTGTTTCCATTTGGTGCTGACTACGTGACTTTTGCGTATTTTGGCATTTTCCATGTCTGCAGATCGATTTTCAGACAATCCCTGGCCACAGCAAACAGATACAGATCCCAAAGCCAGATCAAGTGAGTGAAGAACACAAAGGGCGAGCAGTGTCTGGGCGCGGAGCCAGTGATGGGCGCGTGTTGCACAATGCTAGAAGAAGTTGAGTTATCCTCAGATAGTCAGGGAGAAGAGACATGAAGAGTAAATAATATATATTATAATATAATTTATTCTAAATAGATTTTCATAGCTTCTTTAAGGTAAGTCAAAGGCCAAACGAATCGATCTGTTAACCTATCAATCCGCACAAATTCATTAACAAATCTATGTATTTCAAGACGATTTGAACAGCTTTCACTAAATATTCTCACTTCAGTTTTCAAAGAAGAGCAGCATACATACTTCAGTCACTGCAACGATGATCTGACTTATTCCTACATATAGATGGGATTCAGATTCATTTCGATTACTAAACGTTTTTTCGCTCGTGTCACGTGTCGCGTGTCACGACACAGGCTCTGCTCTGGTGCAAACTGTTTGAAGTTGTGCTGAGCAAACAGAACTAAGTTAAGTTGTTGTCGTTGTTATTGTTGTTGTGGCCAGCCAGATAAATGTTTAAAAATACAAACAAAGATACTCGAGATCATACAATGTGGGTTCCCCCGTTCGTCCAGCTATCTGACCATGTCCGACCTTCTTCAGACGCGAGCCCTTATCGCCTCAACATACATCCAGCATAATTGAATTTTCAGCATTTATCATCAACCTATATACTATATACATCTATATAGATGTATACTAAATATACAGATTTCTTTGGCATATGCGCTACTTGGTCTATGGTTAGGGGGTCTTGGGGGTTGCTGCCATTTTGTAGCCAACTTGTGCTGTCTGCCCCTCACGGGCGGCCCCCTTTTAGCCAGTTAAGCACTTTGAGCTATAGCCAAGCGTAAAGAGATGTAAAGACATGCTCGAGTATGCCACTCGATGGCTGGGCAGGTGAAGCTGCAACTGGCTAAGGTAATGGGTAATGGCTAATGGGTAAGTGGTAAGTTTGGGGGCTTTGGGGGGTCTGTTTGCGTTGCCACAAAATGCCAAACAAGCGTAAACTGCCATTTTGCAATGCTCGCAGCATGGCAGCAGCAGCTATAACAACGGCAAAAAAGCTGTTGGAGGATGAATGTACACCGAGAGATACCCTGTAAGAGAGTAAGAAGAGTTTTAGTAGAACGGCGTTCTAGGCAATATGACGGAACCTAAAATCGAAGTTTATTCAAATACTGATCTAAGAGCGCAAACCATTCGCTTTCATTATAATTTCATGACCAAAAAGGTTTTTCAGTTATGAAATATAAATCACACTAATACGCCAATTGCAGGCGCTTGGCCATTTCCAGGGTATTTAAATTAAAACAGAAATTGTATGTGAAATAAAGTATTTCATTATGCTCATAATTTTAATTGTATGCATCGACGGGGCCAGCGCATTTGCACGCATTTTAGTCGCATTCTCTGGCTGCTTTAAGTGCTTTTCGCCAACCACGCCCACGCCCACGCCCACGCCCAAGCACAGCACATTCAATGATAGACCTTTGCCAGCTCTCACGTTGGTCGAGAGTCGCCGTCAAATTGGCTGGCTGTATGTATTAGTGCTGGTTGGCAAAGCTCGCACAAAAAATGTCCTCAAACAATGGCCGAAAAGGACATTTATTAAATGTGCTACCAGCTAAGACTCGGCGGCTCCTCAGCAAACTATCGTTGCGCAAAATGTTCATTCTTGAGAAGCTAATTAACGTAAGGCAATAAATGAGAAGTTCAACCAACTTGCAGATACCCTGTACATTCGTAATGGAGGAACATTTTGCAAGACATTCATTGCCAATTCGCCACGTCCGAGATCTACGTGTAGCTTCATTGACAGACAGGCAGCTGGGCGCACGGACAGTTTGACGGATACCTCACGAAGCTAGTATACTCTATTCTCAATATGAGCCAGTAAATGAACTTTAGTTTTTCTTTCCTCTGTTAATTCATTAAGATGTTTTCAAAGTAGGCATTTCGTATATAGGCGAGATACACATACCCGTTGCTATTTTGGGAGCATATTATATTTAAAAGCGAACTCTTTGAGTTCGGATCCAATGTTTTTCAAAACCAAAGAAAAATTCATTTTAAGCGTGAATTTGATGAAGCAAACACAAATTTCTAGTATAGTGTATTTCAAAAATGTTGAAGCCAAATTTGCTATTTATCGTGGCAGTCGGTTGCCTAATCGGCTTACAGTTGGACAGTTCTGCTGCCTTTCCGCGTAAAGTTAAAAGTGCGAATCTAATGACTGCAGATGAAAGCCAGTCCGATCCGATTGTTATGAGCTTATTTGGAAATAGAAATCAAGCCCATAAGCCGAACGCAACCATCAGTGCGGTGAAACCAAAGACGCGACAGCTCCCAAAGGGGAGCAAAAATAGCGTTGATGGCGGTGGTGACGGGGCATTCAATCATGGGAGACTCGGTCATGATGGTAACATCGTGAAGCAAGTTGATGATGCGGGTAATGAAGGGGAGGCCGAAGGTGCCGGCGGTGCGGATGCTACTGGTGGTGCTGATGGTACTGGCGGAGAAGTTGTCGATGAAATTGGAAATGTTGTTGGAAACTTTACCGGAAATATTACCGGAGGCATTATCGGAGGTGGTGCCGTAGGTGGTGCCGTAGGTGTTGCCGTAGGTGGTGCCGTAGGTGGTACCGTAGGTGGTGCCGTAGGTGGTACCGTAGGTGGTGCCGTAGGTGGTACCGTAGGTGGTGCCGTAGGTGGTACCGTAGGTGGTGCCGTAGGTGGTACCGTAGGTGGTGCCGTAGGTGGTACCGTAGGTGGTACCGGAGGTGCCGGTGGCGCCGGAGGTGCTGGAGGTGCCGGTGGCGCCGGTGGCGCCGGAGGTGCTGGTGGTGACGGAGGTGGTGCTGGTGGCGCCGGTGGCGGTGGTGGTGCTGGTGGTGCCGGTGGTGCCGGTGGTGGCGGTGGTGGCGGTGGTGGCGGTGGTGGCGGAGGAGCCGGTGGTGCCGGTGGTGGGGATTCTCCGAACGGACTGCCCCATTTCATCAAAGATAGTATGGGCAACTGGGTGTATAACATGTGGGGAGTTACCTATGGAAAAGTGGGGCAGGATACCCGCTTTGTCGCCGGGCAGACCATGCAGCGCATGAAAATAGACTCCAATGCGGCCAAAGAATATTATCCGGAGTAAGTACTTGCATTAGTTGTATGCGTATCAGATTAGGCCTAAATAATACCACATAATCCGAAACTTCTTATACTATAAAATAACTTCTTTTCTCTCAGTGGCCCCCTCTCGACCGTTTGCATGGGCGCTTCAACAATATATAATGTGCCTATCGTAAAGAATTGGCTGGTACGTAAGGTCTATAGCTCTCCAATTAAAAGTAGACCCATCTGGCAAGAGTTGCGCTTGCACATCTATAAAATGGGTAACTCCGAGGAGTGTCACGACGCAAAAAAGTTCAGCACATGGAAAGACTATCAAGAGTGCGCAGTTAGACGCAATATGCGCATGGAGGCTATTATTCCCATGTATCCGATGCATCAAATGGGCAGTGGATTCTAAGCTCTCGGCTCGCGTCCAGCCGGAGCTAGCGATCTGTCAAGTCAGATCTTGTGACGCATAGAGCGCATCGTTCGTATGCAACGTTATGTTAATGTGTTATGTAATATAAGTTAAGAGCTGTCCAGAATAAAAATTACCTTATATGAGGTTGCTCCAGGCAAATATACGGTTGCAGTGTGGGTAGCAGAATCCAGAGTTAAAGAGCTGTAGTACCTTAGTCTGTATTTATGACGAGTTTAGCCGAAACTAAGCTATAATATAAAAGAGTCCTCAGGATTTGCGAAGGCCACTGAGGATGGACATTGATGGCATGAAGATTTCTGTTGGAAGCTAGGGTATCGCCTAGTCATGCACAGCCGACTCGAGCACCCCTTTGTTATTTTGAACGAAGAATCCATGTGGCTTACTGATTTGTTCAGAATTAGCCAGAGTTGAGGCAGAATTTGAATTGGACGCAACAAATACAAATTTTTTGTTTAATATATTAATGTTTTACGTAAATTTCGGTTTCTTTTTACTGGCGATTGCCGCGTGGCAAATTAAAGTGAGTTTCGATCTTTTTACCTGGGCCGTGTCTATTGAGCCCGTTCTTGCAGATGACGCTCTCTGTGAATTTGTACGTAGCAACGAAAGGAAACCTGGCCTATAATAATAATACCCGAAAACCTGATCCACCTTTGGCTGGCAACAATCAGGCAAAAGACATGAATCTATTCGGATTTAAAAGTCAAGAGCTTCCAAAGCTAAGCACAGAATTACTGCAGATGACTGCAAATACCAAAGCAGCAAATAGCACAGATACCAGTTCCATCACAGTAAAGCCAGACAGTAGCACTACTAGCCAGGAATCACCAGATTACAAAGTATCAATACCTAATTTCAAAAAGGACCACAAGGGCAACTGGGTTTATCAGATTTGGGGCGTTACCTTTGGTAATGTATGGCAGGATACGCGCTTTCGAATGTATAAAGCAGTTACGCTTGAGCGTATTAAAGTCGATTCAGAAGCAATCATGGCTTATTATCCCTTGTAAGCATTAAGTATATTCTCAGCGATCTAATTTATAGAGGCATATAAGTCTTACAAGTGGAGGACACTTGGCATGCAGCTTTCGAGCACTTCATTAAGGAATTGTTTATCTGTCCGCTTGTGGTTCGATCATATCATATATAATCAAGGCAGAGCTATTGAGTCTACAAGTATGCCTTAAGATCTTGGTAATGTGGCTCCTAGCCTACCTTCCATACAGTCGATCCCTTCCTAAACTGCTACGCCTTGAATCATACTACAAATATTTCTATGGCTAAACTTGAAGTTGACATCCGATCTATTTCTTTCAGTTTCCGACCATGCTCGGAAATGTGCTTAGTATCTAATCGCAATGCAATATTTTTATTTATATATTTTATTATTTATGTAGAGGAACCCTTGGGACCGCGTGTGTGGGCAAGACAACAATTTATAATTTTCCCAAGGTTAAGGACTACTTACATCAGGTGAAAAGAGCTGAGGAACACAAACATAGACCCATCTGGAAGGAACTCAGGCGACAGATCTATTTACAGGGCAGGTCCGAGGAGTGCCATACGAAAGAATTTAAACACTGGAGGACATTTGTGGAGTGCCAACTAAGACGTAACATGCGAATGGAATATTTGATACCGAAATATCCATTACATCAACTGCAGTAATTCTAAGCTTTGATCGTGGGCTGCCCCGACAAATCCTTGATCACGAAATCAGTGGGACAGCCAGCGAACATTTTATTTAGTCACATAGAAATGGCCCGTATCGTAAGCTCGGCCCACAACGCGTATTTCCATTCATAGCCAGACAGATATAAGCAGAGAGAATATCAGAGAGACCGAGAAAGAGATGTTTGTAATATTAGTCATAAGTTTTAAATTAATTAATTATTATTTAATGACACAATTATTTGATGACAAAAAATACTAAAAAATATGACTAAGAATCCAGGTCAACTGCTTTTCCAACTCCTTGTACTACAGAGTGACCTGACCACATTTCGTTATACAGGGTATGCAAACATTTCCCAAGACATATGTATGTTCGCAGATACAACAAAGCAGAGTCTGTATGCGCCTGTGTGTGTGTTTGAGTGTGTGGTTTCCATAGATTACGAGCACAATTGACTGTTCCTGTGTGTGTGTGTGTGCTCAAAGCTGAGGCAACGCCCACCACATGCCACGCACATCGACCAACCATCGACCGCCCCTAACGAGCATCGAGCATCGAGCATCGAGCATGTGTGCAGTAATAGTCCTTTGCAGTTGCTCCTTACAGTTCCTGCTGCTGCTGATGCTGCTGGTTATGCCCGAGCTGTTTGCTTGCTTCGAGTCGAATGCGAAACGATTTAATTTGTTTCGGAGGTAATGTGGCATATGCTTGCCCTCGGCCTGGGAGTTGCCGCACAGATTGAGTGTTAAACATGTCCAAAGACTTGCAAGCCGGCCAAAAGTAAGTATGTGTGGCCAACTGTGTGGGGAGTGCTCGACTGGAAGATACCGTACAACGAATAGAGATACCCAAGGTAGGGAGCTTTGCTGCTATAGGTCTCGTGTAATGCCCATAAAACCAATCATAAAAATCTTTTTTTTTATCAAAATGTATTCTGTAACTAATCAAGAATATAAAGACATTCTAGGTAAACCATATACCCGGGCCAACAATTTCGCTGTGCTGAGTAAATTCACAAGGAAAACGAACGCTGAAAAGCTTTTTCAGCCTTCAGAATTTATTACATACAACGAGCGCAGGGCGATTTGCATATTTATGAATAATGTAGGGTAACCAGGATAACCAGACTGCGCCCAGTTGACGGGGCAGCTTGACTTGACTTTTGTGGCGTGTCTTTTTGTGGCGTCAACCACTGAAACCACCGAAAAGCCAATGACAGGTGCGCGCACACAAAGTTGGCCTAAGCCACTTGGCTTTTCCATTTCTATAACCTTTGCATGACCACACGGACCACGAGCCATGAGAGTGTGCATGTGTGTGTGCGAAATTGATACTCCTTTCCACACACACACACACACACACTGAGGCACGTGCGCAGAGTCAAGACATTGGTCACGAAAAGCGGAAATGCTGATAAGGAATTTCAATGTTTTGTTTCTCTTATATTTTTTTATTTCGTTGTCGTGTTTAATGTCTTTTTGTCGTGCTTAGTGTCTTTAGTGCTATGCGTGTGTGTGTGTGTGTGTGTGCGTGTATGACCATATAATCTTTATACATACACATAAAATACTAAGTTACTGACCAGCAGCTCCTTAAGCGATTTGGTGCCGGAGCGTGAGACAAGTCCTCCAGCCCAGCCCGGAGAAAGGCGAACAGCACATTTATTAAGGGCATGTAAAGGGGGTGGGCTTAGAGAGGGGTAGAGCTAGGTCTTATGAGCATTGCATGTGATAGCTATAACAAATGGAGCTCAACATGAAAAGAGCACAAAGCCCCAAGCATTAGGCCAAACCAAAATCCTTGGAATATCAAGCGAGCTCAATTCTGTCTATGACTGGTTATATTTAAGAGTAATTGGATTTTTGATAAGGTTTTACTTAGTGGAAGGATGTTAAAGTGATATATAAGTGATTTATATAAGAACAAATCAAATTTGGCCTGAGGCTGCCTTCATATCGAAAGCGCTAAACTCTCGACTCTTAAGCAAAATCTCTAAAGGAGGTAAAACCCTTAACTATAAGCGCAGAGCAGGCTAGTAAACCCTTGGCAAATGAAAATATAATATAAATATATAACTATATAAATATAAATTAGAATATAAATCTCTAAAAAATAGATTCCCAGAACAAACATATCCATGTACAATATAAGAACCCTTGAGAAGAAAATTCAAACTGAATTCGAGACTTACGATCTTCCTTTATGACACTGCGGCCAACAACAAATCTTAATAGGCAGTCATAAAATGTACATAAAACGTCGCGTAATTCATAATTGGAATTGTTTTTCCAATTTCCAAATATCCGCCTCGGTTCGAGGCGCGAGCAGAAGAGTGCAGTTCCTGTGACCAGCTGGAGCGGTGATCTTCAGACAGTTCAGCCACTTATCAAATTTCACACTTGATTTCTAGTGGAACGCGTTGAAATCTTTTCGATTTTCTCGGATTGGATGCACCTCCAAGCCATGCCAAGCGTCGCATCGAGTCGAATCGCCAAAGCATCTATGTGGCAGACGCAGAGTGGGAAAAGTACATATGAATTTATTTGTATATATGAATTTATGTTTGGCCATAACAATTAGGTAGAAGTCAAGTGGTAGCTGCGGTTGAGAGATTTGAGAAAATGTTTAGGGAAACATTTGTGACTAGATAAAGATTTGGGAACGCTTAGGAGCGAACCGCACAGGCCTACCCTCGAGCGAGCACGAGGCGCACCGATGTCTGGATGAGGATGATTATCTCAAACTGAAATTCACAGGCCTCTTGAGAGTCTCGAAACAAGCACGTGACTTATGTATACACAGAGAGAGAGCGAGAGAAAGAGAGACGGAGAAAGGCAGAGAGAGCGCGAGGGAGGCACTGAATGAGGCCGTAATTCAATTTGCTGTTGGGTACCGCGGGCATGTTTAATTTCATTTGAAACGTATTTAAGCTAAAACCAAAACCTAACCATGCCAAAGCAGCCAACACAATGAACCGGGTTGGTTTCGGTTTTGGTTTCGGCTTCCAGCTTCTGCTGGGCTCTGCGGTCAAACAGGGGCCGAGGGTGCGCGCAAAATGTTCAATTTAAAAATTTATGCAATTATGAGCCGCAAATATTATTATATAAACACACAAGCACAAATACGACAAGCAGAAGGGCATGGCCAGGGCGTGCGTGGGCAGCAAATGAGCAGCGGGCTGCACGAGTGGAGAGTATCAACTAACGAGTAGGCCAGCAAATCAGCATAAAAACGTCTTAATATTAAAATGTTGCAGGGGATGATAACTATAAGATTGTGGGAAAGTTAAGCTGAAGCACATGTTATGTGCATGAACAGGAATGGAGCGTTGGGAATGAAGTTTAAAGTAACGAGTAGCGAAAGATGGTTAGCTATCAGAAAACAAATCAGTAACAAGTAATTTAACGAGAAGTATGTGACGAGTAAACAGTAAAGAGAAGTGATTACAGGAAAATAACGATAAGTAACGAGAAGTATGTGACGAGTAAACAGTAACGTGAAGTGATGAGTGGAAAGTAACGAGAAGTAAGTAACGAGAAGAATGTACCGAGAAGAATGTAACGAGAAGAATGTAACGAGAAGTATGTGACGAGAAGGGATAAGTGGAAAGTAACGAGAAGTATGTGACGAGTAAAGAATAACGAGAAGTGATTAGAGGAAAGTAACGAGAAGTAACGAGAAGAATGTGTCGAGAAGTATGTGACGAGTAAACAGCAATGAGAAAATATGAGTGGAAAGTAACGAGAAGTAAGTAAGGAGAAAAATGTAACGAAAAGTATGTGATGAGAAGAATGTAACGAGAAGTATGTGACGAGAAGTGATAAATGGAAAGTAACGAGAAGTGACGAGAAAAATGTAACGAGAAGTATGCGACGAGTAAAGAATAACGAGACATAATTAGTGGAAAGTAACGAGAAGTAAGTAACGAGAAGAATGTAACGAGAAGTATCTGACGAGTAAAAAGTAACCAGAGTAGAAAATAACGAGAAGTAAAGAGTGGAAAGTAAACAGTGAAAACTAACGAGTGAATAATTAACTATAAAAAGTAGTCAGTAGCACTTTGTATTGTGAAATAACTTGTTATTGCTGTTCTTATACATATAAACAGCGAGATAACCAGTAACGAGTAACTTGCTGGCACGTTCATCAGTCTACATGCGATTTGATAGCAACACACAGAAAGACAATCAGTTGGCCAACACAATTTGACTATTCTATATATATTCTATAATAACGAGTAGAGAAACGAGTAGAATAATTGAGCGCATGAACACAATAGATAAACTTCGACAGCAAGAGACTGATAGGCAATAATTAGCTTGTAACGAGTAACGAAAAGTTTGTAACGAGTAACGAGGCAACACATGTATAAAGATACAATTGCTTAAATTCAGTTGGATCACTAAAATCACAGCGAGTGAGGAGCTTGATTAATCTGAACAGTAACGAGTTCCGAATGACTAGTAACGAGTAGCTTGATTTAGTGCATGAATAGACTGCAATATACCGCTAGACATTTAGTTCTTCAAATACAATTAGATTATTCAATTTGTCATCACGAGTTGCTAGTATCGAGTAATTGACCTGACCAGCATAGCTGCAATTGAACGGCAGTATACTGATAGACAATCATTAGCCTAAATACAGCTTGGCTAATAACTTTTAACATAACGAGCCGTCTTTGGCTTTGGGCTCGTGACCAGCCCCGGGGCGTTTCGGTGGCAACATATTGATAGACAATAATTTGTCTTAATGAAATTTTGCTATTATTTATGAGATTGCCGGAACGTGTAGTAAACGTTTTTCCGTTTTTCCTACAATTTCGGGGGATGTGCTCGTGTGTCCGTGCTAAGGCTTCAGGCCTCCATTGCGAGGACGTCGTCGCTGTGAAAACAAAAACAAGCTGTTGTTTGTTGGATTGCTTCGCATTGTTGCAGGAGCCACCTTCCACTTGCCCGCCAGGCAATTAGTGTTACTTGCCGGCTAAACCCCCTTTTTAGATTTGTGGCCTGTTGTTAGGTCTGTGGGTGCAGTGGGGGTGGTGCGGCTTGTGCTCAGGTTGCCCGGCAGGTTGTGTCTTTTATGTGCTGTGTGCATAATTTATTGTTTTTCTTATGCCAGCAACTCTGTCTGAAAGTTGGAAGCCCCATTTCAATTATCACATTTTCACTTCAGCATTTTCTCCGGGTTAC